GACTGGCTGAAAATCTGCTCAGTGGAAAAGGACTTGGGAGTGCTGGTTAACAGCTGGCTGAACACGAGCCAGTGTGTGTGTCCAGATGGCCAAGAAGTCCAAAGGTATCCTGGCTTGTAGCAAAACAAAAGTGACCAGCAGGACAAGGGCTGTGATTCTCCCACTGCACTGGACACTGGTGAGGCCACACATTGAATCTTGTGTCCACTTCTGGCCTCCTCAGTTCAGGAAGGACATTGAGGTGCTGGAGCATGTCCAGAGAAGGGCAACAGAGCTGGTGAAGGGTCTAAAGAATAAGTCATATGTTGAATGGCTGAGGGAGTGGGGGGGTGTTAAGCCTGGAGAAAAGGAGGCTCAGGGATGACCTTACTGCTCTGTACAGCTCCCTGAAAGGAGGCTGTAGCCAGGTGGGGGTTGGCCTCCTTCCAAGCAACAAGTGACATGACAAGAGAACATAATCTCAAGCTGTGCCAGGGGAAGTTCAGGTTGGACATCAGGCAGAATTTCTTCATGGAAAGTGTTGATAAGCATTGGAATGGAATGCCCAGTGAGGTGGTGGTGTCACCACCCTCAGAGATGTTCAAGAAGCATCTCATTGTGGCACTTAGTGCTATTGTCTAGTTCACAAGATGGTATTAGTCAGATATTAGACTTGATGACGTTCGACTTCTTTTTCAAACTAAATCACTCCATGATTCTCATATTCACTATTTAGCATGCAGGAAGGAATTAGAGCATTCTGAACTAAACAAGTAAGATTAGGTTGATAAAACTCTAATGATTACAACACTCATTTTACTGGGGCTTACATCAGTCAAAACCACTAATATTTAATAAATCTAATATCTAATATCTAATAAAGCTAATATTTAATAAATCTGAGGTATCTGCATACATGAGAATGGAAGCATAGTTTTCTGTATGAGAAATGAATCATCTATTTATACAAACTTTATGATACTCTATTGGATTAGTGACACACTGGTATAACAAGTCAGACAACTATTTGCAGGTTGTTTCTATATATAAAAATCTATCAGTAAGTTATATTGTCAAAAAACAAGTTAAGAATTCTATTTTATTTTTTTTAATCCACTGCAAAGAAAATATTAATTTGACTTCTAGGACACCTGCTCATAAAATTACTTCAAGACAGTTATTTCTAAATATCATTCTGCTGGTCTTTTTTCAATCCTGTATATATATGTTTGCCCTTTAAGCACATCTTTAATGCTTTGCTCTTCCCAGCATCTTCCTCACATAAAAGTATTTTTAGATGATGTTTCAAGTGAGCTAAACTATAAAAGGTAGTATTGTGCCTGGAACAAAAAAATTAAGAAATACAGATCTCCTGACTTCAAAATTCAATTATTTTAAGCATACAGCAGCAAATCAGAGGAACGTGTTCCTTGCATATATGTTTATATGCTTTATCAGAGTATCTTCATACCAATTATTTAATGTAAAACCATCTATCGACAATGCAATGTGAACAGCATCTTAAATTGTGTGTTCTGCATTGCAATTACTCTGTGTAGAGCCACCGATTGACTACATAATTAACATTACCCATTAAAGAAAGACAAAACTTTTATCTTACTAAAACTTGCTGTACTTTACTGCATAAACAAGATGCAGGTGAACACATGCTTCAAATTCTTTCTACAGTTCTTTCCAAGGGATGTTCTGCCTCTTCACTGTTACAAACACTAGTTCTTAAAAATGAGTTACAGTAACCTACCGTAGAGATCTGCCTCAGGGCGTCTCAGCAAAAGGCTAAAGCTTCAACCAACAGTAGCACTAAAATGTGAAAGGAAAGGAAATTAAAACAAAGAATATATATAGAATTAAAACAAAGAATATATATAGAATATATATAGATCAGTCAAATTAAGAGGTTTGAGGAACTGCAGTTCCTCTTAAAATAAATAACCTGTCCAACAGTTTTATGTGTCTATGACAGCAGCACTGTAAGGATTACTCCAGGTAACTCAGAACCTTTATGGGAGAATAATATATACTAAATATTATAAAAATCTGGCAAGAACAGCCCTTTAAGATTCTAAGAATGAAGACTCAATTACTGGTTTTGTCCTATTCATTAAATACTTTTTTTTTTTTTTTCAAAAAGGAGACAGTGGATTAGAGTAAGTAGATCAAAATCAGTAGCCCCCAATGTTGTTTATGCTCTAACTAACCTATGCATCCTTACACAGTTAAAGGATGACAAAGAAAAGTCCATTAAATCAGTATTCCACAGTGGTCCAGCACATGTCAGTATGAACAATAAAATTTTGAAACCAACAATCACAAAATTGCACTTTACTGTAGCCCAGAGGTATTTCAAACCTTCCTGTATGCAAACTAAGAGCTCTGCAGTCAGCTGCCCTTCAGTTCTGTGTCACAGCAGCTACTTGCACTCCCTGTGCCTGGGAGGCATCATTCATGCTCTGCACATCCTAAAACAGGCACACAGCAATCATGCTAATTCCTGGAACCATTAGATAATTGCACATATGCTAATCCCCTGCCATGAGGAATTTTTAAAAACCCTTCTGGGTAGGGGAAGTACCAGAAGCAAATGGCCACAACTAGAACTAATTCAGGTGCCTCCTAATTGGGCATTTGATAAAGCACTGAATTAAAGTGCACTTGATCCATCTAAAAGTTGGAATGGATCTAAAGGATACAGTCCTCCAATTAGAGAACAAAGTACGATTCAAATCAGCAAAGACTATTCTTTAAACAGAAGTTTGGATCCAGCAACCAAGCCCCTAAAATTCCTCCGTTCATATATCCTTCAGACACTCAATAATGCCCTTTCAAAATGTTTGAGCAAAAGTATGTCATCCAAAGCAATATTAAAGATAAACCAAATAAATCAAATAGAAACAGAGTTGATGGAAAAGACCTATAAGACTGTAAAAAAAACCAAAACATAATTCTACTTCCTGCCTGCTTGCTTGCACAAGCCATACCACACCTTCAAATGTAATGCTAGGAGGGGCCAGTATTAATCTTTGCCTAACTGATCTGTGAACAGAAGTAATATTCTTGGGTTTAAAAGGAACTAATATGTACAAATATTAAGTTAATCATATATTACTTATGTAGGAAGAGCATCCTGACTTTCACAGGAAAATAAACAGGAAGGAACAGAAGGTATCTTACTTCCTAACTTTGTCCCTGAAGGTATTTCATTTAGGAAACCATGCAATGACAGCATTTGCTCCTAAAAAAATTAAATTCCATCCCAGATATTGTACAGTTGAGATTTTAGTTTTATTACCCCTAACACTATGGCTTCCCTTTAGCATTCAATTCTGGAGAAAAATTTGGCATAAAACAAGACTGTATGAACACTGTGGTAACAATTCTGCTACCTTGGCTTTCTGGATAACATTTAATAATAGCTTAGTTATTCAGCCTACCAGAAATAGCTTTTTGCTTTTGTTACCTGAACTGAAATTAGTCTAATAGTTATCTCCAATGAATCTGTATAGTTTAGTTTTAAGACATTTAGCATAAACATACTTGTGGCAAAAACACTGCATTCTTCGTAACACCACAACAGATAAACCAAAGGACCTCTGACTCATACTCCTTTAACATCTTTCCTACTTTTTCCTTCAAGTGTTTTTTGGTATTCTGCATGCACTTCAAAAAATCTTTCCTCTGTGAGTATACACATATAAAATTAAAATTTAAAGCTCCAACTGAAAAAAAAAAAAAAATAGCTGGGATTAAGTTTGACTGTATTTACTTTTACCAAACAAGCAGGGCAATACAAATTACTTTCAGGATACTTAATGTACTTTGAAGATAGGAGCATGTAAGCAAAAGTGAAGAAATTTCACATTTTAAAACTTTTCCCTAGTGGAAGAGTAAGTTATGACAACATGAACATTACCTAAGATTTGTCTTGTGTATATATTATGCAACTAGAGTGAAGAAAGAAAACAGCCACCCACGCAAGCAGCAGCCCAGAAAGAACAGCGTGCGGTTTTCAGGAACCATGCTGACTCTCGAAAGCCTCCTCTCCCAGAGCTAAGGGCGCTTTTCAGAGCGGCGTTTACACCGCCACAGAGACGGGCGCTACGGACTCAAACCTTCAGGCCTACAGCTTTAACTTCACCGAGTTCCACCCCTTCGGGACAGCGGATGGGCACCGACTCCTCGACCCCCGCAGCAGCCGCAGGGGGCAGCGCGCCCCGCGTCCCCCCGCAGGAAGCGAGGCCGCACCTGCGGGGCGTTTCACGCGAGGAAGGGCCAGGACAGCGGCCTTCCGGAGCCCTGCCCCGCCGCCCCAGCCCCGCACGGGTCCCACTGGACGAGGCAGAGGGGCCGGGAGCTCAAACCCCGCGGGACACGGCGGCCCCTGCGGCCCG